CGCTCCAACCCCGCAGCCCCGGCCCCGCCGCCGGTCCGCCCCCGCGGGGCCCACCGGGGCTGTCCCCGGGGCAGGGCGCGGGCTGGCGCTGGGCACGGGGACAGCCCGGCAGCGTGGGCCGCAGCGGGGACGGCAGCTCAGGGCTCCCCACGCGCTTCCCAGGCTGCTCCCGGCTGTGCCGGCGCCTCTCGCCCACTCCCGACTCGGTGTCTCCATGTGCCGCCTCCCCGCCGTGCCCCTGGGAGCTGGGAGCGCTTCCCCGCTGCCTTTGCCAGGATCTCTGCTCTGGAGCCCGGCTCTGCTCCCAGCCTGTGCAGGTGCAGCCTGTCCTGGGCACACCTGGACGTGCTGAACCTGCCAGGAGCTGGGAGCTCCCTTGGCATGGGCTCCTCCCTGGGCTCTCCAGAGATGCTGCTCTCCGTCCCCCCATCCCTGGTGACTGTGCCTTTTTGCCCTCTTCATCCATGTAGGTGTTCTACAACGGTGCCAACGTGAAGCAGGTGGATGTGCCCACGCTGACCGGCTCCTTTGGCATCCTGGCATCCCACGTCCCCACGCTCCAGGTGCTCCGGCCGGGCGTTGTCACAGTCCATGCTGAGGATGGGACGGCCACCAAGTACTTTGGTGAGCTTGGCAGGAGGAGCTGGGGAGGAAAGGTGTGCGTGGGGATGGCGTTCTTGGCGCTTTCACAAGGGAGGCTCTGCCCGTCCAGGTGTGGCCTGGTGCACTTCCAGGGATTTCTGCTTTCCCAGCCTGCCAGAGGCTGCTGGAAGCTGACCTGGGAGCCGTGGGCTGGGGTCAGGGTTCGGTTCTGCTCAGGCTTTCTGGGACCATCCCCTGCTCCAGCTTGCCTTGGGGTGGGAGCTGAGTCCCTGAATGTGGAAATGCGACAGGAGGGGGCTGAGGGTTTGTTCTGGGAAAGGGAGATAGGGGTGCCAGGGCTGAGCCCCCTGGCTGAGCCTCCCCACGTTGTGCCTCACAGTGAGCAGCGGCTCTGTCACTGTCCACGCCGACTCCACGGTGCAGGTGCTGGCAGAGGAGGCAGTGACCATGGACATGCTGGACCTGGCTGTGAGTACCCAGAGACTTCACCAGCCCTGGGCTCCCTCCCTGGGGGTAAACTGCTCCCCTTCTCTGCTCTGGGGTCCTTGTGTTGGGAGCCTGCTGTGCCCAGAACCCAGGGTTGTATCTGCACCCCCACTACATTTTGGCTTCTGAGGTTTGGGGCTCCTCCTTGGTGTACTCTGGAGAGAGGGAGCTCTGCAGCCATAAATCTGCACACTGTTTCCCACCCCTTGGACAGACACTGACCTTGTCCTCACCTCCAGAACAGCTTTTCCCTGCTGATAAGGGGTGTCTGTAGCTCTGAGGCTCCCAAGTCAGTGGGTCCTTGGCATCCATACGAAGGACCAGTGGCTGCAGGGGAGGGAGGGAAGGACAGTCCCCTCTCCTGCAGTGACTCCCAATGACACACATTCTTTGTGCCCTCCTGTCCAGACTGCAAAATCCAACCTGGAGAAAGCTGTGTCAGAGATGGCAGCAGCGTCTGATGAAGCTGCTAAAGCAGAAGCTCAGATTAAGGTAGAAGCTAATGAAGCCCTGGTGAAGGCTCTGGAGTAAATCCAGGTGAGGTTCACCTGCAGCCTCGTGAGCATCCAGCCCTGCTCTAGGCGTGCTGGGCTGGGTGAGGGGATCCACCTTGCTTTTGGGGAGCAGTGACCACAGCTGTCCCTTGCCAGGGTCAGGCCTCAGCTCTGGGGGAGCTCCTGGGGGTCCCCACAGCTGACCTGGGGCTGCTGGGTGGCAGTGGGACCTGGGGTTGGCTGTGACACTGTGGGGTCCAGCCCAGCTGTGACACTGCAGCTCAGCCCTGGCCAGGGTGGGTGGATAGTGCTGGGACAGACTGGGAGCTGTGGTCACTGCTGGGGCCTCGCTGCTTCCCCAGGTCCCACTGGGACTGCCCATATCTGGGGACAGCTTGAGGGCAGAGTGGGGATGCTGGGCCCCACAGGGAGAGCAGCACGTGGTCTCTGCCACATGCACTCCCACTAAGACAAACAGCTTCATTCTCAGGGGAGGTGAGGCCAGGCTCTTACCTTGTGGCCTCTTTTTGCTCTGCCCTGCACAGACTGTGCCTCATCCCTTCCCTTCCCACGTGCTGGCAGCCGGGAATTGCGGCAGCGTGTGCTGAGCAGGGCTGTGAGTCACTGACAGCCTCCAACGGGCTCAGCCTGGAGCACAGGAGGGCACCAGCTCCTGATCTCTGCTCCTGGTGCTCTTTGGTCCTGCAGAGCTGGTGGCTCATGTTTACTCACAGCAGTTGCTCAGCTGGAGTGGGGCCAAGCCCTGGGATTGGGATCCACGGCCCAGCCGAGCCCACCCTGTGCTAACCTGCCCCCACTTTGTGTTTTGCAGGAATCCCACTGTGGATGCAGAGCTCCCAGCCTGTCCCTGTTCTGCTCCCTGACTGTACAGATGGAACAGGACAAATGGAGGTGGAGAAATGGTTCTGATCAATTAAAAGGAAATGTGACCCCCTCTTGTGGCACATCGCCTTCTTCTCAAGCAGCAATTGCAGCTGGAGCCAGGAGCAGTTCCCAGTTCCTGCCCCAAGGCAGATTCACCCTAGGAAGGGGTCACCAGCACTGCCCTGGGCTTTGGCTGGGGAGACTCACCCCCAGGAGGTTCATCAGACAGATTCATAATCCCTTCCCTGTGCTCCAGCCACCTCCATCTCCAGTAACCACTTGGACTGTGGGATTTCAGGAGCACAGATCTGTTCCAGAGCCGTGCTGTCCCTGCACTGCTCTGCCTCAGCCTCCTGGCTCCAGCGCTGCAGGAATCCACACTGGCACAGCAGGATGCTTCCCACAGCTGGACAGCAGCTGCAGGGCTCTGCCCCATCCCCTGCTGCTGCCCGTGGCACTTCCCCTGCTCCTGGAGATGGGCTTGGCGTGGAGAGGGAAGCAGATGCTGTGCATGGTGGAAATCTTTCCTGCTTCCGTTCGTGCTGGGGATGGCTGGAGCTGCTCTGCTGAGCTTGGTGCTCGCTGGCTGCAGCCCTGTCTGAGGAGACCACGCGGGGTTCCTCAGGGTTCCTCACAGCCTGGAGAAGCAGGAAAGGTTCACTGGGCTGCAGCACCTCTGGAAGGGGCGGGTTTGGGCGAGGGGACAGCTCTGCCTGTGCCAGGCATCTGGGATGTGTGCTGCCGGGCCCCTCGCTCCATGCCACCCTCCCACGCCTTTCCAGAGGGATTTCGGGTTTCCAGTGCTGTGCAGAGCTTCCGTCCCTCCCTCTGCGTCGTCCTAATCCCCTTTTCCCTGCAGTGTTCCAGCCGGGGAAGGCGCGGTGGCTGCCGGTGAGGTCAGTGCTCGCCACTCCGGCCCCCCGCGTGCCCGGCGCGGCTCCCGCTCGGAGCAGGGCACAGCTATTTTCGGCACTGCCACCCAGGATGTAATCTTGGCTGCCTCCTCTTCTCACCACCACCTCCTCCCCCTCCTCTCGCTCACTCTGTCTTTCTCTCCCCCCCCCTTCACAAGTGATCAAAAATAGAGCCTGTGGTGTTAAATTTCTCACTCTGTGGCTTATTAAAAGCCTCCGAGTGCCTGACGCGGAGCCTATTTGAAGCTCAGCCGACTTCCAGCTCCTGAGCTGCTCCAGTGCCTTTTCCCCTTCCCCTCTCATTCCTTTTTTTTTTTTCCTTAAAGGTCAGACATTGCACTGAGCATAAGCAAAGCTTCAGAGTCAGAGCTGTACTAATTAAAACATCTTGGGAATTACTGGGGCCGGCCGGCTCCCTTGCCTCTCCCGCTGCCCCTCTCTGTCCCCAGCTGCTATTTCGGCTGCGTGAGCCTCCCCCAGCACACGCAGCCGTGCTGACGGAAGGTGGCTGCCTTGGGTTTTTCATCTAATGGAAGAGCGTTGGCGAGGCCGGGAAGCTGGGGAAACGGCCAGCTGCTATTTTTAGGACAGGAAAAAAGTGTCTCCGTCAGCGTCCTCTCACCAGCTCTTCCCACTGCCTCCCGCCAGCGCCGGGGGAGCTGGGGGGGCCGAGGGATCCGGTCCTGCCCCCCTCGCCGGGTGCTCTGCAGCCTGATACCTGCTGGGACTTGTAGGCTGCATTTGGGGGGAGCAGTGGGGGAACCC